GCATTGGGCTAAGGTACACTTTTTCTTTCGGGAAATAACTGTTTGCAGGAAACATAAATGTACTAAAAAACCTTCCATCTTCAATTTTCAAAAAAAAAGCAATGTCGCTACCACTTTTTTTCGCAAGGACACAGTACTTTAAAGTAACCCTTGCATTTTTGGCATATACCGCCGGTATTGGCATTACCGATGTGCACTCCTGAAAAGAGCCGTTTGTGTGTGTGTGTCTGTGTCTGTGTGTGTGTGCGCGTGCGTGTGCGTGTGTGTACACACAGAAAAATATTATTGTACAGTCAAGAAAAGTAATTACTCAGTTTATTTTATTCCGTTTAAGTAATAGTTTGCTTCAACAAAGAATATTTTCTTAATAATAGTTTTAAGATATACTTGTTACTAGTCTTAGAAAAGCTTGCCATCTTATACTCAAAGAAAGAATTTATTCTTCTTTGAAGAAAATTATAAAACTTATTGAAGAATTCCGTATGCTTCTTTTAATAAAATCAGAAGAAACAAAATAGTTTTGCTTCAAGTAATTCATGTTCTTAATTCAAATAAACATATTTCTTCTAAAAATAATGTCATCTCAGGACAAGTAATTACTTTTCTTGTCGACCCTAGTTTACTAGGGTTTTTTAGGTAAGAATATGAAATACTTGAAAATCGGATGGTAGAAACGCACACAGAAACAGAAGAAACAAGTGACGCTCGGAACGCACGCGTTCGTACATGTTCTCTCCGTGCGCGTTTTCCCTTCACTCGACTTTCGGGAGTTTCGGGGAGGCCAGTTCCGCTTGGGTCCACGCGAAGTGAACAGTGGTCTTCTAACCAAGAAGAGATATTTTTTCCTCGGGATTGCATCATCCCGCGCGAGGCCCGATAGTTAGGTCGTGTCGGCCTAGTGGTTGGGCCGGGGACCCGTTATCCAGACCAACTACAAAGTCGACTTTCGGATGAGCCCAGTTTCTTAGCATCACTGTTACGTCGTGTCACCGTGTTATCGTTATTAACCTAATTGTTGTGGTAAATAATAGTGATACCATGGAAAATATAGACTGTGGAATAAAAATCGTAGATTTACTACGAAAGATCGGTTGCGAAAATTTGATACCACTTTTCGAAGGTAAGTGTTATTTATTAATTATTGTATTATTAAAATAGTTAGATTTCTTATATGAGGGGTATACTATATTCAGTTTTTAATAATAATCAGTGAGGTAATATGATGAGATTGTCTTACACTAGAATAAATGAAACAATAAATTCAGAAGAGTTATTTTCTATTATAGAACATAAAATTGAGATGCAACAGATACCAAAATTATTAGCAGAGAAAGATATGATGCGTGAGCTTATTCCAAATATTGGAGACAGATTGAACTTTATAAATAAATATGAAGAATTACTTTCCCAAGAAGAAAATAATGTACGTTGTTGGACCTATTTTATCAAATGTTAATACTATTTTCTACTTATATATACATATTTTCACTTTTATCTACATTTATATGTTACGATTAGGATGTTTGTGTCAGTCACGTGGAAAATGATGTATTATTAACCTCAATAATATTAGAAGAAAAAGATCTGATATCTTCTATCAATACGGATACCTCAGATAGTAGTGGTATTATAATAGCCCAAGACGAACATCAGCAGATATGTAATTCTGAAAACATGTTGTCCAAAGAAATACATATGCCTCACTTGAATTTAACTGAACTACTTGAGCAAGCACCAATGGGAAAAGCAATTATTTCCTACTATAATAATCACAATTGCCTAAATGATTGCTTGCGGAATAGACTTGTGGATATCATAATGAGACATGTATTCTCATATCATTGCAAACAGTATGCTAATATATAATAATTATTTTCGAACAGGGAC